CTGTATCATTCTTGTATCTGTCTGTCAGTAGATGCAGTCATGTAGTTGCTCTCTTAGGCTTCTGCTGAGCTCTTAAGACAGACGCAGGCACTGAGCTCATATATAAGTAGTCATACAAATTTAAGTGCTTAATTTTGAATTGAATCCCACCTGGTTCATCGCTTATGACAAGCTGCATATTCAATCCATCTCTTGTTTTTCTTCTCCTTAGAAGGAGAATATTCATCAATGAAAAGCCCTAAAGCTCCCTGCAAGTAATAGAATATATTCAGGGAGAATTTAGGATGGCTGTATGGAAAGCTTTTTCATGGTAAAAATATTCAGCTTTGTTGTATTTTACTAGAGAATATAAGAAGAAACCTCTTAAGAGTTTAAGAAATGGATTGAGCAATGACTTTGAGAAAACATAAGAAGGGAACATTCACAAGTAGAGGGGCTGTATAATGAATTGGCATTCATTTTATGGTATTAGTGAATAGATAAAGAACTTATAATATTAAAGAACCGTGAAATTCAGCTACTTATTTTTAGTGCTAGTATAAATTAGAATGCCTTTTTTGGGATATGAAAGGGCAAAAGGCAGGTTTGGGGAACAGCTGTTGCTTTTAGTTTTTGCCAGTTGCTCAGATACTTGAAAATCCAGCTTGTCGCTCGTAATAGCTGTGCTCTGCTGTTGTTTGGAAAGATTGTACATTGTGTTTGTCATCTTTCATGTTTGCTACTGTACATCTGCTTTCTACTTGATTGTTTTTTTAAAGTCTGACTTGTCAAGGCGATGCTGAACTTCTTAGGTGCAGTTTAACAGCTGTTGTCCACAGGAAGGTGGTTCAAGATGACCTGGAGCGATACTCCTGCAACTGCAGGGGAAGCGTGGAAAGAAAAGCATAAATGCTTCTATTATCTCTTTCTGTACCCCGCTTGCCTCTACAGCAATAGCTTCTGGGATTATGCAAGTTTTTACGAGGGAGGAAGAAAGAGGGAGGTGAGAATACTGACAGAGCACGCCTAATGTGAATTTTTAATGGGCTGATCTAAGCTAATTCAAGCTTCTGATGTCCTGTCCCTTCAGAATGTTCGTGGAAATCGAGTTAGGTTAGCGGTGCCTTTGCTGATGCCTGCAGGGTTTGGAGGGCAGTGTCTGTCTGTGCTCCAGTCAGAGTTCAGCCAAATGTTTCATCTGATCCATGTCCAATGAGGCATGCAGCGATTTAGTGAGATGTTAAGCAACATCTCACCCTCTTAGTTTTCGTCTTCCCCCTTTGACTCCTGCTCCCATTTTTCTGATCTGATGCTAATGTCTCATTTCTAGTGCAGCCAGTTAGTTATATGCAGGACAACATCTTTGAGATCCTTCATCTCTTGTGCCAGATGCAGCTGGTGGTTTAGAGCCAGCTGTGTCGGGCATAGGCAGCTCCACGCAGGGAGCAGGGTTGGACCTGTTTAACCTAGCTGTAAGTCTATGGCTGTATTGTGGACTTAGCCAGGGTAAAATATGTAATGATCAACTATGGTTGGTGCCAATCTTCTGAACCAGTGCAATTTTTGAAAATAATAGCAACTTTGCCTTGTTTTCCGTTTATTTGGGGATAGCAAAGAGAAGTTGTTACTTAACATCTATGTTGTAAAACTGAGTGTGATTTACCAAAAGTCAATGTGTTGAATACAGTGAGAGAGTATCACAATAATGATCTCCTCTAGTAATAAGCTGAGGCTGAAGTGTGACTCAAAACAGGTGAAAGGTGAATGCGGAATGCAATGGAACTGCAGTTGCCAACTCTTTTTTTCCTGCACCTGGTAACATATCACCCACCAGCCTTGTTGAGGCTGATGAAGCCCCTGTAATTCAGAAGCTTATTTTGTTTTGATTTCTTGTTTAACCTCCTGTTACATGTATTTTGAAAAGATTTTAGCCCCACTTCCCATGAATTTTCTTTAAGAGAGATTTAAGTTTGTCCAGCTGTTGAGTTGTGTGTGATGAAGAAGAGGGTGGTAGTACTTTAGTGGCAAGGATACATAGTAATAAGAGCTTTTTTACTTACTGAAGTGTTATATGTTACCTTGCTTTTAATTAAGATGGCAGGTAAATATAAAATAAGTGTGTTTCCAATAGCCAAAGAGAAAATTTTGCAACAGAGTGATAACTGCCACCATTGCTATCTGGTAGTTAAGTCAGAAGTGTAAAAAAATGTTGTGTGTGCTTTAAAGCTGAATGGGTCTGTAAGTGTTCGATTCAGGTAGTTAAAGGTTTTAAATTAGAAGAAACTTAGAGTTGCAATTGCAGGCCGCTTTTTTTTTCCCCTCTCTGATCAGGAGCAGTTAATGCATTGCTTAATCTGTTGCATATATTTACTCATCAGTGTTCAGTGTACCTTTTGGAATTAAACTCCACACTGAAATGAGGTGGATACATAATAATTTAAATCATGCATTCACAAATGAAACTTGTTTTTCCCTCTCTCTCAGCACTGCTGTGTGTTTTAGCCTGCTCTTTAAAGAAGTTGGATGTCTTGGGTCGGTCTGTCCCCTGCCAGCTCTTGAATGCATTGGACCATTTCATAAAGAATTGATGAGAAAATGAAAATCTCAAAGCTGTGGTTGTGCGTTTTCTTCAAATTAGCTTTTGTAGGTGAGGAAGAACCTGATGTGGAGAAGAGACTTAAATTAGTGCTCCTGGTGAAAGGCATTTTGATTATACTCAGAGTGGTAGGTGTTTTAAGGGGTAGCAGGCAAACAGCTGGGCA